CAATAGTCTACAGCTTTCATCTATCAGTCATTAGTGTGTTAGCCATGAATAAGTTTGGACATTCCCTGTCTTCTTCTTCTTCGTCACGTCGTCGTCAAATTATTCGTGCTCAGGCATCAGCTTTGCCGACCACTACCGATGGCGATTATAATGTTGAAAATCATAGGCTCTGCAATATTGGAATGCCTAGTGACGACAATGATGCATCCACTAAAAAGTATGTAGACTTGGCAACTACCAGTCTATACAATAAGGTGCTCATCGCAAATGAAGCACTTGGCGCCCTTGGAGAAGCAGTGGATAACATCAGCGATCAAGTTAAAAGCAGTATGATCCGCATTCAGGAATTGGATCAAATCTTGAACAGAAACGTCCACGATGACCTTCGTAGCCTTGGTGATCTAGCAAGAGAGACTGGAGAAAAGATGAGTCAGCTGGCCATGACGTGCGAGGAACGTTTCCAGAAAATGGAACAATTTGAAGCAACCATCAACCATCGAATTGATCAAATTAAAGATGCAGCCAATATTTTGTAGTAGTTATTATAAATATACGTACTCCCATACATATATGTTTAGTTGTCTTTGTGAAATGTCTAGAGAACAAGTGGTTAAGGAGCTTCATCGACCGGCTCGTAAAAACTTCAAACGTAGAAGATTTATACAATATGGCCTCGACGATACTTTTGCCACTGATCTGGCACAACTTGATCAGTATGCCGGAGAAAACAATGGATTCAAATACATATTGGTTGTAATCGACTGTTTTTCCAAGTACCTTTGGACGCGTGCCATTAAATCGAAATCTGCACCAGATGTTGCCAACGCTATGGCAGAGATACTCAAAACATCTGGAAGAATTCCAAAGAAAATTATCTCTGATAATGGAAAGGAGTATTACAATGCTCAATTTGCAAGTCTAATGAAGAAATATGGAATACATCATTATAGTTCGTTTAGTCCTTTGAAAGCATCGATCGCCGAGAGAGTGATTCGAACCATTAAAGAAAAGCTGTTCAAGCAATTTACATTGAATGGGAACCATAAATGGCTGGATTTATTACGGCCTATAACTGATGCCTATAATGATAGCAAACATGGCACGATACATATGAAGCCGAGTAACGTGAATAAAAAGAATGAAAAGGCGATACTGATACTGTTTATAGTCATATCAAAGTTGCCGGTAAGCAAAAGTTCAAGGTTGGTGACATTGTTCGCATAAGCAAGTATAAACATGTTTTCCAAAAAGGCTATACACCAAACTGGACTACAGAGCTCTTTAAAATAGCTAAAGTTCATATCACGAATCCAACGAGGTATCTGTTGGAAGACTTGCAAGGTCAGCCGATAAGCGGTGGATTTTACGAGGAAGAGCTGCAGAAAACAAAACAGCCAGACGTATTTCTCGTGGAGCAAGTGCTACGAAAAAAGGGAAACAAAATGCTTGTAAAGTGGCTAGGCTTCGATAAATCACACAACAGCTGGATTGACATGAATAAAGATGCCATTTAATACTCGCATGTGATTGGTCTAAGACATGTTCGACGGAGTGGTGGTGGTGGTGGGGGGCCGTAAAAGTTATTATAAACCTCAAAGTACCACATTTGTGTCTCAGTATTTGAACGTAGTCACGGTGTCATCGTGAAATGTCCTGTGAATCGAATCACACAATGTACGCAGATATCAGTGCCGAAGACAGCGACGATTCGCAGTGTTCGTCAAATTATTGGGAATATTTGGACAGTATGATTTTGAAAAGTCGAATGGAATTGCTCAAGAGAAACGTTTACTCAACGAAGTTAGCTACCAGGTGAACAATTTCAAGTTGATTGTGGGCCTAAGCGTCGCTCGAGGAATGCTGCCAGCAGTCAAAATAGTAAACTACATGCTAAACTTGCCCGAAGATCAAACTTGCATAACTCTAGCCGATTTCGACTGGTATGAATTCCTGGAAAAGGTCTCCAAGATGGTGAATGAAACTGCTGCTGGCGTCAAAGACTCTGTTGTGCCTGGTCAACAACAGGCGTTATCCGAGAATTTCACTCTGTATGTCGAATCGTTTTTCGGTGAACAAGCTCTAACTCTTACGTCGAATAATTGTGCATTGTGTTTTTGCTTGGACGACATCAAACAAATTTTAACTGTTTGTCCTCTCATAAATTATAGATTAGAATTAGTCAAGGATTTGAATTTCATTGTCTACTATGATGATTGCCTACAATATTTGAATGTAACTCACAATGTCAAAAACGGCAGCCATCTTTTGCAATCAATTATCAGCATGTGTAACTTGAACAAATGTGAACGTAGCTGCTACTTTCTAGAACTTGCTACTATGAACCTAGGCAAAATTGTCAGGGATTTAGATAAGCTGGACGCGTGTTGTACCACCCTCCAATCCAATTAGTATAAGTATTAATAAATGACTATAAAAAACAGGCTTGCTTTTTATTTTTCACACTACAATAGCAACCTTTGAAGAGTCAAAATGTCCGGTTGTAGTATTACTGGTCGTCGTGGTGATGCCTGCTGCCATCATCAATCTTCCTGTATAAGACAAGCTGTCTATTTGCTACGTACTAGTTTAGAAACAGACATGTACTTTTTACTTCAAGCACTTGAGCAAGAACCCGACACTAATGGTTGGTTTTCCACGCAAGATGTAGAAAAATATGAAAATGGTGTCAAGTCTTGTAATCTTTATCTGGCTAATTCCATCTCCTTGGAGGACCTATGTGTGCTTATGAATCAGTATGGACTACATCAGCAATTAAAACAGTATGGCGCTAAATACATGTGTGATGATATTATTGCAAAATATATAGGTTACGATGAAGTTGACTAAGTTGTATGATGTTTCTATTAAAATAAAAGTTTTCTTGGTGAAAAAATCGTTTGCATTATATTAACCATTACGCCAATTTATTAAGGATGTGTAAATGAATCTTATCATTCAATTACTAACCATGATAGTGTCAAGTCAATCGTACTATGTTCTCTTGGTTGCTCTTGTGCAAAATAGTTTCTATGTACACAGACCGTACAATGTCCACAAAGTGTCAATAATGCTAGACTTAACCTAATAATACAACATCGTGGACAGAAATGCATTATGAAGTAATAGATAAGGGCCATTTAGCTGTTTTCACGACTCGTATACCGTCGTCGACGTCATTGGCGTACCTGCGTTACAAGGTGAGGCTGCATTTTCATGATGAAACTGTTGGAGATACCGAATGGAGAACTCTCATCAGAGAACCACAACAGCAAGAAGAAACATACAATAATTCCCATAAGACTTTATCAGACAACGACATCGCACCGAAATCCATTTTAAATGTAGTCATATTTATTGTCATTTGCTGCGTAATATTATTATTGAATTTAACGTACCATATTGGAAAAAGTCAATGTACCCTATGGTTTAATAAATAAATAGGTTTTAATTTGAAAAAAAACAGTGTGACTCATTTAATTCATTAAATTTCCCATAGTTAATCTGCAGTGGAAATATCCTTTTTTCATCAACAAAATATTAGATGCAAGTCCCAGCTTGTTATTTTCGCTAGAACGGAAATGCTTATCAGTAAAATAAACTGTGCAATATGATACCTTTGTTTATAACGCTCCGACATTAAACGTCGTCAACTCAATGGTCTGTAACCTTGAGTTTCACGAATTTTCTTTATTTACCACTACGGCATTCTGTAATAGGACACGTCGCACAACGTACGCTGGATGGCGCCACCGACACACATTGACGTGACCATATAAGTAAAAAATTATATAACGCGTGTACTCCATTTACGCAATGATAGGCGTTTGATGCAAAAATGGATGTGACCCAGATCGCTATGACGTCATCACCGAACCATAATTAAATATACGTAGCGATTTCGAAACGACTCGGAACAATCCCTTCCACGCAAACTCCATATTACAGGAACCTGTAATTCCCCGAACCATTCCTGTCGATCAATTGCAAGAATTCACCGCAATAACCCGGTATGACGTCATCACAGGTGACAGATGACGTTTGACAGATGACGTTTGACAGGTGACGTTTGACCGGTGACGTTTGACAGATGACGTTTGACAGGTGACGGTTGACATGATGGCGGGAAAACATTTCCCCCCCACCCCTTTTTCTGGTACCCATATTAAAATCCGGGGGCCCCTTCTTGGGGGGCGGAGCCCTGCGGGTCCCCAACTACAGCATCCTGTATTACGAACTTCACACTATGTATGCTAGATGGCGCCAAATACGAATTTCACACTATGTACGCTAGATGGCGCCATGTCGTTTGACAAGATGGCGCCGACGATGCATCCACCTTCGTGTCAACGGCGGCGCATCCACCACGTGTCAAGAATGATAGATTGAGGTTATGGTCGGAATTTGATGCTAGAACCCCCTTTGATTATCTACTCACGCGGTCCGCCATATTGACTAAAAGGTATAAAAATATGAACTTAGTCTATCCACAATATTTGCACAATGGTTTATTTCACAAGAAAATAAGAATTCAAAAAACAAGGAACAAAATGTTTTGTTTTAACATTTTTTTTTGTAGGTAGGTACCTACGTAAATTGTAGAATAACCAAATTATTGCCAGTTTGGTGATCAGTGCTCTGAATGGACAAACTAGTTTGCCACAGTACCTATTCACAGAATTTCTTCTTTTAGCTATTCCCAGCCACTATGGCGACAGCGATTTTTCTGAGCAGTAGTATTTTGTTACAGTTTTTTTTTATGAATAGTGATAGATTCTTCGATACCCCAGCAAGAAATCTCTGATGAGATGACGGTAGGGTAGGAACACAATTTGGTCCTCGGTCGAGATTATAGGAGGTTTGAAAGTGAAATGTCAATGTGCCACATAAAATTCAATTAACCTACATTTATAGCTCCGATGAGCTTAACCAAGGATTGAACTGTGTTCAAAGAACAGGCACAAGGTGAAAAATAAAATATCACTTCAAGCTTCCTAAAAATTCGTGGTAATGCTATATAATACATGATGCGGTATAACAAATAAAAGTTTAACGTAAAAAATATCTATTCTTGGTAAATAACCTTATGATTATTATGGTGTGTCTTCGAATTGGCTGATAGCTATTTCTTTGGTTCTTTTTCCTCTTCTACACTTTCTCTACGCCCTTTCAACATATACTTCAATGGTGCTATACAGTTCAACAGATTATTCAAGTCAACTAAAAACACAGCTCCAGTTACATTCTCAAATTTTCCTTGCTCCATCAAAACCTGTCTTTGAGCTCTGTAACAAAGAAAAAATATCATATTATTTATATCTAATAAAGGAATTGGAATAATATTTTTGTACATTAGAAAGTAGCACAACGTTGATAAACCTCCCTAAAATACACTCATTCCAGAAATGTATCGATAACGGTTTCCAAATCGAACCCTGGATTTTTTTAGGAAACCTGTATGTGAAGTCGTTTTTGGTGTCAAATTCGGTAATAAAGTTATTGTTCCAGTCCACTTATTGTTACCGTTCCCACTAATAAGCTCAAATCAGTCTACTATATCTGGCTAATTATTCCTATAATGGGCTCTTTCACTAAAATTTAAATACGTAATGTAAGCATAAATTCTTAAAATTCTCAAATAAGGGACTATTTTAGGTACCTACCCATATTTGATTCGCCTTAAATAGTTATTTATGATATAAGTGCTAAAAGTGACATTTTGTTTTGTGAAAAGGGAAGTTTGGGACACGACGCCAAAGGCGGAGCGTTCCATCCCTTTGAACAAAATAAAATCACTTTTAGCACGAATATCATACACTATTGCTTCTACAAACGCACTAAAAGTGATTACTTTTAGCACTGGTGCTAAAAGTAATCACTTTTGACACCAGTGTCATAAAATGGCATTTTAGACACTGACAGCATCCGTTAAAAATTACACTTTTAGTGACGTTTGTAGAAAATAGTTATTTAAACAACAAGTTTTGAAAACGACTTTTTTCGCACGGCGAGACAGTTTGTTGTACTGAGCCGTAGGCGAGTTCCACAAGTCGAGCAAGTGTGAAGAAAGGTTTTCAAACGAGTTTTTTACAATGCTCTTCCTACAACTGCAAAATAAAACAACCAAATATATAATTTCCATTTGTTAGAAAACTTGAAGCGTGTGAAAAACTTTTTCGCACGCTGAGGAGCGCGTGAAAAACTTTTTCGCACGCTAAAATGCGTGTGAAAAACTCTAATTTCAGAGGTTGCCTAGCGTGCGAAAAACTCCATTTTCAGAGGCAGTCGTAGCAAATAGTTATTTTTCTACAACTGTCAAAAAATGATGATGCTCGCACACTCATGACAGTTTGCGAAGTGACACTTTTTTTCCCAGGTATTGATTTTTTAACGTTCCCATGACGCCGTGCGCGAACTAGCTATTTCGCACACTAGTGCGCGAAATAGCTAGTTCGCACACTGGTCTCATGGTGACACATACCTGTCAGGATGCCAAAAATAATTAAAATTCACCTACCTTTGATCGAAAATGCAATTTTGTATTCGAATGATCGATTTTTAAATGGAGTTGTAGAAAAAATATTGTTTGCAACTCGAGCGCGAAATACATTGGCAATCTCGAATATTTTTTTTAAATCGGCTATGCCTCGTTAAAAAAATCAGATCTCGATCACCAAAGTAGCATTTCGCGCACTAGATACAAAAATAACTATTTTCTATCTAGTGCGCGAAATGCTACTTTACCAATTGACCTTTTGTTTGGACGCCATATTGCGGTGTGCCGAACATAGTTGCCAAAAGTAGAAAAAAAAAAATTACTAGCGTACTGTCAAAATCAAAGAAAAAGTTACTGAACAAATTACATTTAAAATTCAAATTTGCCGCCTATTACGAATGTTTTTAAAAAGAAAAGCCATCAATTTTATCTTGTATTGGGCAGAATAGAAATAATAAAATATCTACCTATTTACTTTCATCAATCAGAGAGAGAAAGTAAACAAACAAAAAGGATAGCGAGGATCAATCATTTATAGTTTATTTTTTCCCAAGATAGATTTTGGCATTGTCAACTTTGAAACATAAACAATGCCGCTAATGCCGCTTATTGGTCGCTATTGTAAAACTGATGTCAACCTGCAGAAACACCTCATTTTGCGACCAATCAGGGTCAAGCGTTATTGTTTATGTTTCAAAGTTCTCAATGTCAAAATCTATCTTGGGAAAAAATAAAGCGTCAATTGACCTTTTGTTTGGACGTCATTCAGTGGCGGCTGGTGAGAGGAAAAGTTGGCGGTGCACACCCTCAGGGGGGAAGCCCCAGAGGCGCGCAAATTTTTTTGGACTGACCCAAACTAACCCAAATTTTGATCTAAAAGTTTAAAAAAAAACACACCCCAGAAAGTTTTTTCACTTATTCTCAATTCAAACGTGGGCATTTACCATTTCTACAAAATAATAAATGAAGCACAGGCGGAGTACGAGAAATTTATTAAAACAGTTTTATATGAAATAAAACATAAGGCACCATACAAATCAAATAGGAATCAAATTTATAAAAAATATCTACTGCACTGTCTTCCCAGACGAAACTGATTTCTTTGCGGCAGGCGCTTCAAAGAAATATGCCGCCCTATGGCGCCAGGGACGCCGCTAAAAAATCTAACCAATAAGATATTCCTGGAGCCAACGTTGACTGTCTATCGATAGTCAAATCAAATGAGACAGTAAAAAAAATTAATTTCCTTCCAGTAAATTGATCCAGATTTATCCAAACCTTATCCAGACTTGTACAGACTGATCCGGATTCTGGAAAATGCTCCCCAGGTCTTTTGAGACCTTTTCCAGAATTTTTCCGACCCTTTCAAGAAATTTCCAGGCCATTTCCAGACGTTTCCAGAGATTTCCAGACATTATCCAGACTTATCCAGAGCTTTCCAGAGTTTTCAGACTTCATCCAGATTAATCCAGACTTTATCCAGAATTGTTCAGACTGATCCGGATTCTGGAAAATGATCCCCAGGTCCTTTGGGACGTCTTTCAGAATTTTTCCAACCTTTTCCAGAACTTTCCAAGTCTTTTCCAGACGTTTCCAGAGATTTCCAGACTTTTCCAGACAATACCCAGACTTATCCAGAGTTTTACAGACTTTATCCAGATTTATCCAGACCTTATCCAGACTTGTACAGACTGATCCGGATTCTGGAAAACGATCCCCAGGTCTTTTGGGACCTTTGGCAGAATTTTTTCGACCCTTTCCAGAAATTTTCAGGCTCTTTCCAGACGTTTCCAGAGATTCCCAGACTTCATCCAGATTTATCCAGACATTTTCCAGACTTGTTCCAGCTCACTTGGCTTGTTCCAGGTTCTTGTTGTGTGTTGTGTGTTAATATAAGCGAGGTAAAAAAGTGTCTCTTTTTCGTTCCATCGAGTCTCAAATCACTCCCAACGATTCTAATGAAGTTTTCACTTCAAAAATATCTACTGCACTGTCTTTCCAGATCAAACTGACTTCTGTGCGGTGCGGCAAGTGGCAAGCCGTTCAAAGAAATATGCCGATAAAGATGCCGCGACGCCGCTAAAATATACAAACAATGTCCGCGAACCGACTCTCAAATTAAATTGCCGCAAAAACTAATCCGGGCCGTTCGATCAGGTGGCCCCGTTTATACGTATAACAGGGGCGCGACTAGCTTGTTGATTTTGGGGGGGCTTGAGCCCCAGGTCTTTATAAGTTGATTTGGTGACAGTATATGATGTTTTTCAAAACTTACTACACTACGTATTTCACAAATGCCTGAATTTGACGGAAATACTCTGCCATAAACTTTGTTCTTCGATATAATCCATGTTCTTAGTTAAAAAAAAAAGTTATAAAAGACATTTTTATATACATACATACATAATATGTAAGTACAAATTTATTGAGTTTAAAACTTGGTACTAAAAACAACTTAAAAACTGAAACAAGTTCTGTTAAATTAAATTCCTCCTAATTGCACAGACACGGACCAGCAGACGAAAGGGTTAAAAACTTAAAATTCAATACAGTCAATTTATTTTTCTGTTTTTAGATGCATATTTGTCAATCACATCTTCCAAATTTATTTCTATATCCTTTTCGATAAATAACAATCCAAGTGCAGAAAATCTTTCTTGGCCCATCGAAAGTGGTAGCCAATTCAAAATGATCCGCATAATAGAGAAGGACCTCTCGCACGTGGCAGACGTTACTGGTAACGTTATTGCCACTTGAAACAGAGTATATACAGATGGAAAGATTTCTGGTTTTAGTTCATTTCGAAGAGTTTCATAAGATGCATCCTTACTTCCATTAGATAAGCTGTTTTTTAAAACTGTCATTTCCGCCTTAATGATATTTTTATCCAACCTAAAATACTCTGCATAGTATTCAATAAAAGGCATGGATTCCTCGTAATCTAGCGTAAAGAATTTGTCTATGGCTGCCGCAATGCGAAGGCTTTCCTTGGAGAATCTTGATTTTAAAAAACCTACCAGAGAATCTAAGATTCTATAGAAGACATGGGCTCTCCAATAATCTACAACATTTGGAGTATTTATGCCTTCTTTGGCTCCCACTGTTGAATCCGCCACATAATCTTTCAGTTTCGATGGTAAGTTTTTGTTTCTTTTTGAAGATGGAGGGTCCAAACTCACATCTACCTGGTTCGCAAACTCACTTATTTTCTCATGAATTTTCTCATAGGTTTGATCTGTGCGCATTGACTCCAAAGTAGTTGTTACTCCTTTTATCACATTTGCAGCCTGTCCCAAGGTGGTGGTTTTTGACTGTAGTGACTGTGACAAAATATTAAGCGTAGTAAGAAGTTCTTCCAATACTAGCAAATGGACTATGAAGGATGCCTGTTTCATACAGGATAATATTCCTATAGCGGTTACGGCTTGTTGATCTCGCCTTTCTTCGATTTCTTGTCCAAGTAGACTCACAATTGTGGGATATACCCTTTTCACTGCGGTGCAGCTACTGAATCTTGACACCCACCTGGTATCTGAAAGTTGAGATAGCTCCTTAACTTTAATACCCAAATCTTGAATAACATTTTTGTATTTAATATGTTGTTGCGGCTTTGAAAAATGATCATATAAAGCCTGTAGCTTATTAAAAAAATGTACGATGGACTGCACATTTTTGCACGAGTCAAGTAGCGCTAAATTAACTCTGTGCGCCATACAATGCGTATATAGAGCATAATGGTATGTCTCTCTAATTTTGGCTTGGAGGCCTCCAATTTGCCCAGACATCACA